ACGGCAAAACGCATAGGATTAACGCTAACGCAATCGCCAAAAAGCTTCCGTCCACACGCAATATACACCGGATAGTGTCTTCCCACACGAGACAGCTCCATTTAGATCCAACCGCTGGAAAAGCTGCAGTACATATGCCGAGCCTGTACGTGGCGCTGTAACTTCCTCCACAAAAGCAGCAACTTCCTCCACAAAAGCAGCGAAGAAGAATGGTTGTCATGGCTGCACTTCTGTTTATTCTCCGCGGTGGGGGCCGAGGGAACCGGGCAGAGTTTTTCGCCGGTCAACGTGTGTTAAAGTTGAAATCTTCCGGACAAAATTATAAAAGTGCCGGTCAAAGGTCTTCTTTGTTATTTATTGAGCTTTAAAACAAATGAATAACGACTCTATATAATGATATATAATAATAAAATATAAAAGAGAGAGAGTGTGTGTGAGAGAGAGAGTGTGTGAGAGAGAGAGAGAGTGAGAGAGAGAGAGTGTGTGTGTGAGTATGAAATGACAGTCAGTTAGAACTGACTGCTGTCAGTTGGAGTGATGACATCATCGCGTTCCATAACACAGGTGTTGACAGTTGAGCTAACGAGCTATGTATAGATCAAAGGCTTCATTGTTCTGAATGAGAGATGAACCTCTTACATGTGAACGTTTTGTGGAAGAACGATAACAGATATCTGTGAAATTTCAAAACGTGAAGCATGTCAAGGTAGTTGAGTATCTGAAGTGTAATTTTTGTTTACTTTCGGGTTAATAATGTGGCTTTTTTGGCAGTTTAAGAAAGGTGTGCGGCTGCTGCTGTGAGGAAATATCTGCCTGAAATTACAATGGGCTTTAATGGAGACATGTTGAACGTTTTTGTCACTTCATGCCCTCAAGAGGCATTTTGTTTAATTATTTTGCTTAATTATTTGTCATTTTTCAAGCTACGAGATGTTTTCCTACGTTTCTCATGAAAAATTATGTCTGAGGAGTGTAGGGTTTGGGAATTATGGCAGGTTTAAAACATTTTTTTTGGGAGAATTTCAAGCACTCTTCCACTCTGTTTTGAGATCAAAGCACTCTAGACTTAACGAGCTGCTCCATCCACACTAATGTTAAAATCTGAAGAAAGCCTCTTTACCAAGCTCCAAACTAAGTTAAATATATCAAGAAGTGTAAAAGATATGAAGAATCTGAATAACAAGTTTTATAGCTGAAGGTGTTGTGATCATTTGAAAGTTGGAATGAAGTCTCTAGCTGAAATTATGTGGAAGGAGAAGCATTTGGCGCAAAGTGTAGGAAAAGAGGATTTGAAGGCATCTCCCATTGACTTCAATGTTAAAAAAAAGAGTTTAAAAAGCTGAATATTTCAAAAAGTATAACATATTTTTAAAAAGTTGAAGGTTTCCCATCGATTCCTGAACAGGCTGAATAGTTTGATATTTGAATGGTTTCTGTAGCTGAAAGTAAGCTGAAGTTATGGAGAGCCAAAATATTGGTGAAATAATAATAATATTAAGGGGAAGAATAAAGAAATTGAAGTACTATAGTGGAATGCTGTGGCACAGCATTCGCACTAATAAGGGGAAGAATAAAGATTCGAAGAACTATAGTGGAATGCTGTAAACAGCATTCGCACTAATTAACATCTCACACATCCATTCATGTTTTCTCTCTTAAAGGGACCCTATTAACCTGATTTTAAGGTTCATATTTGTATTCAGTGCCTCTACTGGAACATGTCTCCATGCTTTAATGTTCAAAAAGCTCTTTATTTTTCTCATACTGCCTGTGCTGCAGCACCTCTTTTCACCCTCTGTCTGAAACCAGAGCACAGTCTGCTCTGATTGGTTAGCTGGCCGGCTCTGTTGTGTAAGGTGTTATCACACCGGACGCAAACCGAAAGTTCACCTCACGTACTCGCGCTGACTGTGGCATCATTTGTGCTTACTAGCGTCACTGAAACTAGACGTGCCAGCGAGGAGGTGGGCTCTTCTCCATGTAGATACCAACAACATTATTTATAAAGATGAAAAAATGTAGCTCTCGCAAATGAAGTGTGGCCGCGTCATTGCATTGACTTTACATGAAATTGCGCACAGAAAACTGTCGGACCGAAAAATCCCTCTGGAGGGAACACAGGGATTTTAGCCTTTATGCACAAAAACCTATAGAACACACTACAGGAAAGGGAAAACCCCCAAAAAGCAGAATATAACCTCTCATAGTGACTCCACACAGTGACAAAGTTGCTCTGGAGCCAGCAGTCATTACAGATTTCTCATATCTCAACAATTTCCACTGCTCACTTCAATCTCCCTTTTTTGTTTTCTAAAAGAAAATTTGGATCAAGGTTGGCACTGCGACTTCATCGAGTGTTTTTGAGTGTTATTGAGTAGAGTTTTCAAAAATTATCAAAGGAGAGCTGCATTAGAGTGGTTGAAAAGCAAAAAAGTGGTCAAGATTTTCTGTTTGTCAGTGATTCATGATGCTGTCACACACTTCACCTGTTCTGCCCTCTCTGTCTGCTCAACTGTGTCTAATGGATTCTCCAGGATTTGCTTTCAAGAAAGATTTGCAATATTTTGTTTTGATATGACAATTTTCATTCCAACTAACTTCATTAACTGACAAAAGACTGACTTTTTATGTAGAATCAAACTAAATGAAGAATGGAACATGAATGGAACATATACTCATATTACAAATTATTGGGAATTATTAAATGTACATTAAACTGGATGAAAGGGTATGGAAGATGCTTAGTATATGGAGAAAAGGTTCATTCTTTCTCCCTCTTTTCTCTCATTTAAAGTGGACCTATCATGCTATATTTGAATAATATATTGTAGGGCCATACCTATATAAGGTATATTTGCATACATATTTTTATTAGGGCTGTCAAGTGTCAAGTTTTTGCGCAAAAACAAATTAACGCGATTAACGCAAGTGTATTTTTTGTCCTCGGCCGCCCCGTAGTTTCAGAGCGCATCGAGTTTAAAATACCATCTACAAGCTGATGCTGACAGCCCCGCTCCTGCCGCCCGCTTGTGGCAGACCACACTTCCACGCTCACCGGCAGGCCCGGACTGGCCATCGGGAGGACCGGGAGGGTGTGTGTATGTGTGGCGCGAGCGAGGCACACCTTACGTGTTGTTGTTGTTGTTAGCATCTGGTGCTAGCTAGCTGCGCTAACGGATATAAGGAGCTGTTTCAATGAAAACAGAGGAGCGACATTTCGCCGACAACTGCGCCGAGCACTTGACTTTATGCAGGTAGCCAGACAGTGGGACATTGTACGAAAAGTCAGCACACTCAGCACGGATAGTGCGCGCAACATGATTGCAGCGTCCAGGCAGCTCCCGTTCGAGCATATATGCCTTGAGCTGCACATAGCTCCAACGATCCATCACAGTGTCTCCACATTCACACACACACACACACACACACACACACACACACACACACACACACACACACACACACACACACACACACACACACACACACACACACACACACACACACACACACACACACACACACACACACACACACACACACACACACACACACACACACACAGTATTATTGTATGAGAGAGGTTCCAGGTTGAATTGAGGCGAATATTTGTAATGTTCAGAGGTTGTTGTGTTTAATATTCATGAGAATATTTGTCATTGTTCAAATGATAATAAACAAACATATAAAGCATATTTGTCCACTCATATGTTGATAAGAGTATTAAAAACTTGAAAGATATCCCTCTAAGGTACATTTAGAACAGATAAAAAATGTGCGATTAATTTGCGATTAATCGTGATTAACTATGGACAATCATGCGATTAATCGCGATTAAATATTTTAATCGACTGACAGCCCTATTTTATACATTTTCTTTTTCAAAATACCAAACAGATCATGCATTTTAGCCATGCCTCATTTCGCTCTATTTTGCTCTCCTCCACCCTGTCTTTGCATGCGCTGCAGCTGACCACGCCCCCCTGCAAAGGAGGGGGCCGAGTTAAGAGCGTCGTGTTACCATGCTGTTACCATGCCACGGCAACCTCTCATTCCCCTGATAGGTCAGCTCTTCCGTCCTGACGTCAGAGAAATGTTCAAATCTGGATCAGTTTTTATCAGATCCGTTGCAGCCCCTTTTTTAGAGATTTGGGTATGGAGGAAAAGAGAGAGGGTTGTGTTTTCTGACACTTGGTGAGTTCCCTGGAACACCGGGGACACATATTCATGTATAAAAGACGTACAAAAGTGCATTTTGCATGATAGGTCCCCTTTAACTCTTTAGTCTTATTTTTCTTTTATCACCTACTACAATTGTATTTGTGCTTCTACATATTTTTCAAATCTTACCAAATTACTTGTGATTCAGAAGAGTATCACTGTCCATTGATAAGGTACACATTTTTATGTTCAAATACATAATTCAGGCAATATCTCAAGTGCACATTTCACGATTTCTTAGATTTGACCCATATAAAACAATGCTAAAAAAGATTTTCATTGACCTTAGTTTTTTTGGTTATTTTAAACAATTTTAAGGTCCGCAATTATCTATTTCTCTGATTATGCCACAGAAATCCTCCTTGCCAGCTTTTGGTCCCAAATATTATTTTACCTTCTTGGTTGTAAATATCTATTAATTCTAGCTTTTTTCTTCTTCTTGCTTTCTTTTATTTTGTTTTGATCTTGCCTATGTTTGCTTTTGTGTTTTGTGTGTATTGAAATGTGTTTTGTGTGTAATAATAATTGTTCTGTATTTGTTCAAATAAGGGGTACTCTCAAGACTTAATTTCTCTCTTGCACAGAATTTCAGTATTCCCTGTTAGTGCTTTGTATCCTAATAATGCAACAAACAAACAAACTAAACTAAACAATATTGCTAAATGACTAACTTGGACCAAATCATTGTGATGGGCCAACCCACCATGTTGGGAACCACTGACACACGAGCCTATGTGTTTACCTGACCTTCACAAGTGTTCTGCCCCTCCTCCCAACAGGTCAACGCGTTCCTGTCTTTTGTGATCCCCATGGTGGTCATATCTACGCTGAACGGGGTCATAGCCAATCAGCTGCTTCGAATGTTCCGGGAGGCGGAGCAAGAAAACCGAGTCTGCATCGTTGGAGGAAATCCCACCATGCTGAACGTCACTGTGGAGCCCAACCGCGCTCAGTCACTCCGCCATGGGGTTCTCGTTCTCCGTAAGTGGACACACACACACACACACACACACACACACACACACACACACACACACACACACACACACACACACACACACACACACACACACACACACACACACACACACACACACACACACACACACACACACACACACACACACACACACACACACACACACACACACACACACACACACACACACACTATAGGAAATGGAAATGTGAAGTCAGCAACACCAAGTCGGCCATCTTTGAAGCTGCAACTGTAGACATACCATTACGGGGAAGCTAGGTAGCATTTAAAACATTGTTGTTAAGCACAGCTAATCCCAGCACTAACGAACAAAACTGTTTTCCGTTTCATTTGTTTCCAACGTGGAAATGTACGAGGGAGACAGAGCTATCATCAGCAAGAGACCCTGAATGGTTTGGGTGGCAGCCATCTGCTGACTGTTTAATGTCAAAAGAATTGCTGAACAGTAACACAAACCACTGAGAGGGAAAGAGACTTTATTAAATTCTGATGCAAAACAGCTGACAGACGATGGGTGAAAGTGAATAGATATTTGCCACCTCTGCCGTTGCTACAGTCATACAAAAGGAAAGGAGGTTATTATTATGTATTAGTGTCACGGATAGCTCTTCATGTCACTTGTAATAGTGCATTTTAGTATTTTAAATTGATAAATCAATGAATTACTTCAATCCATTAAAATGGTCAGTTACGCATTATGCACAGATTTACATATTTCAGCTGTTTGCACACAACCACAATATATGGAAGTAGGAATGCAAAATCAATTTTTATTTGAGAAAAATGTGTGATATTTCAAATAGTCAAAATTAATTTCTCCGAGTCATATGTTATGCTTAAAGGTTGATAAGAGTACACGTGTATGTTTGAGCATTTACTGACAAGCTACAAGTTATTTTGATTAGTAAAAAATCTTTGCTTGGATGCAGTCTCACGTCTCCTTTACCTAACCTTAGCTTACACACACGTTTGTTCTGTTTGGGACTGTTTTCAATTAGTTTCAATTAGTGTGGACAAAAAGACACACAATGGTTAGATTTATGCGTGATCAGAATTGTTTTCAGGTAGATTCTGTGCCTATTTCATAGTCATGACCTCGTTTGGTCACAGCTGTCTGGAGAAAACCAGATGGAACAGTAGAACATCTGCGGAAACAGTTGTATTTATTTTAAAAGCGTTGACTTCAGCTCGTTACATTCTGGTCTCATCTGTGAATATATATATACCAATGTATTTAACCCAGAGTTACGACTTTTGTCATCTGACTTTATTCTTGTTATATTACAACTTTTTAAAATAAAATCAAGACTTACCCTAAAAAATGTAGATTTTCTTTCCTCATCCGCAATCACTCAGATTCGATTGAAATGAACAGCAGGAGAGACAGCACACCCACTAATGTTTCATTCACATATACACGTTCACACGCATGCACACTTCAACACTTTTAAACATCAACTTGGGTGCTCCATCAAACTGTCAGTAATCTGCACTTCACTCACCTCAGTGGAGCAAATTCTACCTATTCCTCACTCTAATCTAGTCAGTGATGGAGTGCTGTATCAAACCAACATTATAAATAACATGCTGATTGTCATTCCGTAAAACAACATACTAATCACTTCATTTGAATTCAAACTGCTACCATTACATTTGAGATATTACTTTTGATAATAGCTAGATTTTCATTATTATAAAATGCTAAACCAAAATTGTGACAATTCCTTGTTAACAGTATAACTTCATTTGATTTAAAGGAGCCCTATTATGTACATTTGTGGGTTCATATTTGTATCGTGTGCCTATACTGTTGAGATGCCTCCATGCTTTAATGTTCAAAAATGTTCAAAAAGAAACCAGAGCCCAGTCTGCTCTGATTGGTTAGCTGGCTGGCTCTGTTGGAATTAGTCAACCGCTTAGAGATGTCCCACCCTTAGCCTCAGGTACAACGTTGTACAATTTTGTGTTTGTGTCAAATATGACCGATTTACACCTTACATCAATCTTAAATATTGTGTTTTACATTTGATTGCTTCAAGGCCTTATGATATCCCCCACAGTAGGCATTTGAACAAACTATTGCTGATCATCCCTATCATGAATTCTGAGTGGTTTAGTCAACTTTGTTACACCTATGTTGTTCCTGTTAAAAAATGACCATCATAGAATATTCACTGCCGTTTTTCATGTAAACCAGTAGTCTGAGACATTGATTACAGCTTAAATAAAATGTGGTGATCAGGGCTCTACATTATAAATGGCCCGCTGGCCGGGAGCACTATTTAGACACCCCGGGCCAGCATAACGTACTTTCCACTTGCCCGCTCGGGCCACTAAAAATATTGCTTTAAAAAATAAATGGTCCTGTGGTATAGGTATTTTGACTAGCAATTTTGTTAAATCGTTTCGTTTATTAACGCTACAACATAGCGTTTCGTGAGGCGGTTGTCGTTGTTGGGTGAAAATCAAACAGCTGTTTGCTGCGGATCGCAGCGCCAGCAGGCTCCCGTGAGCGCGCTCGTTCACTACAGACTTTCGCACCATCTAACCATTCGCCAAAATGTTTTTAATACCAGCGGTAACCGGCCAAGCGCCGGGCAAAAAACAATCTTCAAATAAAAGTCACCGGAGGAGTTAAAGGAGAGTGACAGGGAGTATGAGAAGAAGAGGGAGGGAAAGTTTCAGCCACACTGGCTTGATCGATGGAGTTGGCTTCTATAGAGTGGTGCAGTGACGCGTCCTAAAACCCTTTTATAATTTTCGAATCATACATCTAGATTTATGATTAGAAAATTATAAAAGTAGGGTAGACATGTGGAGATTATCCGGCTGAACAAAACGTGCATTTATCAAACAGGTTCGTTTTCCACAGACCTTATTTCCAGCTATTTTCCAAAACCCTCTGGAGAAATCCCATTGCTTTTTTGTCGAGGGAACCAGCAGCTTACTTCCTGGTTTTACGACGCGTCACTGCACCTCTCTATATGATGCCAATATAAACAAGGTATTTTGTCGGCTCTGTACATCAATGTTGACCTATGCTGACAAGTAAGTGAAGAGTAGAACCAGTGGCGTCGCCTGGCCTGGGCATCCGGGGCTTTAGCCCCGAATGTTTTTTCTGTAGCCCCGGACAATTCTCCCTCAATAATATAATACATTAACCGTGCTTTACGTGAACCTCATCATGACACGAGAGGACGGCAGCACTGTAATTTCCCGTGTTCAGTGAATGCAACAGAGGCATGACACCAGACCAATCAGAGAGTTGCATGGAAATAAACGTGTGCTTGTGTCATTCAAGCTCGGCTCTGTTTGTGTGTGGCAATAGCGCATTTAGTGTGATAGAGAGAGAGAGAGAGAGGGAGGGAGGGCCCGGTGCCCGGTGCCAGCAGGGACCGTGTTCTTAGCATCTGGTTAGCTAGCTGCACTAACGGACATAAGGAGCTGTTTGTTCCACAACAAGCTGGAGGAGAGTCCTCTCAGACTGAGAGACTCAGGTGAGCTAAAGGACTCTCTGAGTGTTTAGATACATAACTTTAGTCTAAGTTATCTCAGTGGGTCTCAAACGGTTTGGTCACAAATTATTCAAAAGATTATTTCCGCGGCACACCTTCATATGATCATTATAGTTATTAAAAAAAAGAGAATAAATGAAAAACAGTTATGAAATACTATATGGCAGTAAAAAAAGAATAAAGTTTAAAAGGGGAGTGATTAGTAAAATATCCAAAAAGAAAAAGTACATCTGTTTACAGTTCTGCTTCATATGGGTGTTGAGAGAGGTATCCATAGATCTCTTCATTTTGCTCTCAAAGTGCACCAGATTGATGCATTTAACTTCAATATTTAAAAAAAAATCTTCCCGGGGGAGCATGTCCCCGGACCCCCCTAGAGGAGGTGAGCCCCCCACTCATAAAAAATACCACTTTACCCCTGCCTATATGCCATGAGCTGATTATCGAGCCTTCATTGTAACAGTCGCGGGTGTATTGTGTGTGTGCGTGTGGGGAGTGTTGCAGTAAAAAATGCCACTGTAGTGCCACCGCCACTGTGGGCTAAGCCCCGAATGTTTTCAGGTCCAGGCGACGCCCCTGAGTAGAACATATAAAAGGTATATTCGCTATAGGGAAATGTCCCAGCAGTTTAATCTAATCTATTACATAGCCATTACATTTCTAACTCCTAATGACAGGAAGGCAGAAAGCGCATTATACTAATAATAATACTCATAATAGCAGACATTTTTTAACAATGACCACAATATAATTATTTTAATAAACCAAATATGAACAATTGAGGAAAATGAGGAAGAACTGATGATTCAAATGTTGTAGTACAAGTAGTATTGTAGTTTGTGCATACAGGGCCGTATCCACCATTGAGGTCACCGAGGTCCGGACCTCGGTAATTTTTTCCGAGCTGTGTATATAACAAAACTTGTGAAATAATTGCACTAAACGGGGTATTTTGTAGAACTTCCATTTACTGCCGATGGGGGCGCTGCATAACTACGTAGCCTCGATTAAAGCAAACAGAAGAAGACGACATGTATCAACCATAAACAAACCACCGCAGCCCGGACTTGTATCGGAGCAGCAGAGGAGTGATGAGGTATCTAGAGATCTGAGTCCAGTGGGCTGCTTGTGTTTCTGTTCCTCACAGGACATCATATGACCAGCAGATCCTGTGTGAACGCTCTACGTTAGTCAGTGGACGTCCGACAACATGCACACTAACTCATATTGCAGCTATAGGCTATACTTTGGTTTAAATTGCGTGAATAAACTAGCTAGAGAGCTAAAGTTAATTACATTCATCCAATGTCAGAAGGATTACCTTTTAACAAACCTTGTAATGCTTTTCTTTCATTTCAATTTGAGTAAAACATTGAAGATATAACATTGTATTGTTTTCTTTTTACACTGACTCAGATATAATGAAAAGACTACTTCAGTCGAAGCTCAGCTTTGGAAGAGACAGG